TTTCTGAATTTGAAGAGAAACCATTTGAATTAACAAAATCTACATATAATGACATGAAATCAGCAATAAAATCATATCTATCAAAACAACCACCGTCACACATTGCCAATCGTCAACAGGATTTCATCCAAAATTTTGATAACCTTGTTGGACGTATTGATTTAGCTAAACAAGTACTGGACCAACGGGATGCTATAAACGCTTATTTCAACCAATCAGACGTTGTTGAAAATGAAGGACTTTCATTAAAAGCTTTATTAAAGTCTACCGAAGAAAATGGTGAATCTGATCCTGGCTTTACCGAAAAAATTGCTACTTTTAATGAATATATGAAAACCTTGAAAAAGGACTTTGCTTCAAAAATACTTTATCCAAAAGACAAATCATCCGATAATGATGTAAACGAACCAATAAAACAGGTATGTTGTTTCTATTCTTTAGAGAACATTAAGTTCGATAATATTTACCCAATTTAAATTTACTTTTTTTTTTTTTTTAAAAAAAAAAAATTCATAGGCAGTAGATAAGCGTATGGAAGAACTTGAAAAATTATCCAAAGAAATTGACAACCAATTTAATTCTTATAAAAAAACTATGGAATTTTCCGGAGAACTTGATGACGCACTTGAAAATGTTAAAAGAATTGAAGACGAAGTTGATCAATTCATCTTTGAAAAAGCATCATGGCAAACACAAGATGATCCAAACATAGAAAAAGATGTTAATTCAATTGTCAAAAATTTGTTAACTGAATTGGATGGAATAAATAATAAAATTTCAGAATTTGAAAAGAAAACTCTCAAATCAATAAATACCAAATTTGATGAATATCAAAATCTTATGAATTCAGATGAAAAGGAAGTTCCAGATCATATTGAGAAACGTTATAAAGACTTGAACGAATTATTAAACAACTTGAAATCACTTGATGATTATGCTCAAGAAGTTATTAAGCAACGTAAAGATGTTACAGAATACATGAACAAAAGTTCTATGTTGGAAAAGGAAGCTCGGGAAATTCAAAAGGTAATATCTATTTCATTAAAAAATTGCATATATTTAATTTAATACTTAAACGTTAAATATTTATCATACAGATTCTTTTGACTAATGAACCAAGTTCACCCGGAGGAGAAGGAAGTACAGTTTCCAATGCTGTTGATTCTTTTGCTGATAGAGTTCAAAGTTTATGGAATGATTCATCTTCAGAAATTAATTATCCAAAGTGTACGATACAGAACGATAAGGACCGAATAGGTCGAGCTGTAGATTGCAATGCCGTTATTCGTGAGGCAGTAACTGCTCAGAATGAATCATTAAAATCGTTGGCAAATAGCTTAAAAGATCTTCTTCAAACACATCAAAACGTCCTACGTCGTAAAAAGATGATCGAATCATATATGAACCAGGCCAAGGATGTTGAAAATTGGATACAACCGAAATCTGATATTTTGAATGGTATTCTAAATGATGAAACTTTAGGAGAATCAACAGAAGATCGATTACGTGATCTAATTGGCGAAGTCGATGGTGTTGAAGCTGCTCGTCAAGCATATAATAGTGCTTTTGATTTCGCCAAAAACTTGGCAGATAAATTGATTGAAGATATGACATACGAAATTCAACGTGGTGGTGAAGAAGACATTGAAGATATCAAATCAGATCTTGAACTTGTACGCTCTAGAGCACAAGAGATTAATGAATTATGGGTCGAATTACAAGATAATGTTCCTAAATCTAGGCAAAGGTTAGAACAAGCACTTCAAATTGTAGAGTTTAAAGAAAAAGCCAAAGATGTTCTCTCAAGAGTTGATGATTTATCCAATGCGGTGAAAAATAGTTCAATAGAATCTGTTTCTAACACTGAAATGAAAGATTGGCAGATTAAATTAAATTCTTTGGAACAAACAGAATTTTTCGATTTAATAAAGCTTCATGATTTAGTTCAAGAAAATTTAAAAGACAATTATGGTATCCTGAGTGACAAAGAATCTAATGAGATTGAAGAAATTTTGGGTAATGTTAGTGATGCTATTACCTCGTTAAAACAATTGATGGGTGACAAAATTGAAGAAATCGAAGTTTACAAATCAGCACAAATTGCTGGAGCTTATATGAATCGTGCCAATGATTTACAAAAATGGATTGAAGACTCTATCGCAGCCTTTGAGAATGCTAAGCCCACATTTGGTATTATGAGAGAAAATGATAGTGAACTAAACACCAAGAATTTCCAAGATTTAGTCGCAGTTTTGGAAGAATATCAAAACCAATTTCCTCATCGTAATGAACAGATTGAAAGCATCCGGGCAGAATTTAACGACATCACCTCACAAGATGGTATTCGAGAATTGCAAGATATAATAAACTGTCAAGCACACCTTAATGCTTCATGGGATAATCTAACTGTATCTGTGGAGGATTTCAATAATTTTACTCAAAAAGTTTCTCAGTGGCATGATCGACATGATGCTATATATAAAGTAGAAAATGATATATTTAAAGGGTTAGAAACCCGTATAAACAATTTATCTAGTATAGATTTCTCAAATTTGGAGGCTGAAGTTAAAGAATTAGAGGAAAATATTAATAAGGCTGTATTAATACTTGAAGACACTAAAGCTGCTGCCAGCCGTATACCTTCTATACCGGACGATAAGTTCGACGAAACGAACATGCAAAACTTTGATGTTCATCACGACGAAGCAAGTAAAAAACTCTCAGAATTATCAGCTGCATTCAAAATTGCTCTTACCGCAGCTCACAATGCCTCACAATTGGCAGCGTTTCATGCTGATGCAAATAGAATTATTAAAGATTGTTATGAAGGAATAGCAGTTGTTAAGTCAAGACATGAAGACCTTGATCGTAGTGGTTATTATGCTCTAGAGGTTGAACCCCTTGCAAACGTTCTTAGAAATGCAATTGATGGATATACAGAAAGTGATGGAAAATTGAGCACATATGATCAAAAGGTTAATGTTGATTTGAAACAAGAAGCAGACAAACTTATTAAACAAAATCCCGAAGTCAATAGTGACCGTATATTGAACATTTTCCGCAAGGTGACAGAAGCCTTAGAACAATTCTCTTACTCTGTAGCACTAGAACGCCGTGAACTTGAACTCGTACGTAGAGTTTATGCACATGCCAAGTCTGCGCACGATATAAAGAGTTGGATGTCATCTTGTAAATTAGCCATGTTAAATATTCAAGTTGGTGTTGGTATAATTGATCAAGAAGCAGAGATAGTGGATTTAGAAGGAAAAGTTGCTAATTTCGAGACTACTGTTGAACAATTCAAAGATATGAGCCACCGAGTCCTAATACCTGAAGCTGAAAGTAGAGAGATTGATGAGCCTCAACCTGAAGAATCAAATCCTGAAATCAAAGAATCTGTTCAAACAAGAACAAATAGGATTTTAGAAGAATGGTATGGTCTCAAAGATCAGCTTGCAAAATTAAGATCAAGCTTAAATGCGTCTAAAGAAGCTCAAGAAGTATCGCGTGCTATTAAGGAGATATTTACGGCCATAGCTCGAGCTAGAGAGCGGGCATTTAATGTTGAATCTTTTAGCACTGGTGAAGGAGTTCCAAGATTACCAACAAGAGATGATGTCATTGATGGTGAAGCAGAGCTCGACGAAATTCAGGCTGAAGTGGATGAAATATTAACACCTAAAATTGATACATTGGATGCTATGATAAACAATTTAACAGAAAATGACAAAGGATATGTTCAACAACGAGCAGGAATAGCAGAAGCATTGACTAACCTTCAAAATTTAATTGATAATAAGAGAGCTCAACTTAAAGAAGCTGAAAAATTGGCGAAATTCGGAACAAAAGCAGATGAAATGAATGCATTAATGGCTTCATTACTTGAAGTAGTGGATGTTACTACCACAACGATGGATGACTCACCACTCTCATCATTACAACCTAGTGAATTACAATCTCGTTTGATTGAACTGGACACAAAATATAAATACTACCATCCTAATATTGTTCAAAAATTGACAGACGCAGAACTAGCAGCTGAATCTCTAAAAGATGATTGGAGAGTTAATGACCGTCTAGATATTTTAATAGATCAATGGAATGAATTGAATGAAGTTGCTTTAGCCAAAAAAGACGAATTAAGCCGCTTACTTTCAGGTCAGAAACCGAAAACACGACACATGCGATCCAATTCAAGCGGATTATCAGGTAAACGTCTGATCAATATCATCTATACCTTGAAACTATCCATATGCATTAAAACTATACATGGGTGTCTAAGTTATTTCTCTAAATAAATAATTATTTCGTCAAATAAATAATTATTTCGCAATTAGTCTGTTCAACCCAGTTTTTTCTTAGTGGCGAAATTAATTTTCATAATTTGACGAAATTATTTTTAATATTTTGACGAAATTATTTGAATTCCTTAAATCAAAATACATCAAAGAATAGTTATTTTGTGGGATTCATATAAATTACTCTTTTTTAAAAAAATTTTTTAGACACCATGTATAATTAAAACATAGTTATTTATTAATTATTAACTATTATGATTTATTATCACGTTAAAAAGGTCGTGCTTCTCCACGAAGTACATTCCGATCTTCAGCTACATCACGAGCCGCATCAAGAACTCCAACACGACTTTCTCCAAGTCCAACGCCAGGTACACCAGGATCTCCAAGACGTCCACCAATACGTCTTTTACCACATTCAGTCAATAATTACGTTCCAGATCCTAAAGATCAACTTGATGTGGAAGTCGCACGAATAGTAAACGCGTGCCCCGTAAAGATTAAAGTATCTATGGTAGAAGGAGAGCCCGGAAAATATATGTTTGGAGAAGTTGAACCTAAATTATGTTATTGTCGTATTTTAAGAAGTCGTATGGTAATGGTTCGAGTTGGAGGAGGTTGGGCAGAGTTATCAAAGTAAGAACCACCTTACAAATTTTATTTAAAAGCAATTATTTTTTTAATTAGGAAATCATTAAACTAATTATTTTCAAAAATGATACTGGACTGGCTATAAAAAAGGTTCCTTGTCGGTATGTATATTCTTAATAAAAATGTAGTGAACAAACACTACGAAAATATATATATATATATTATATATAGCAAACTTTCTACTATTATTTCCGACAAATTAAATTTTTTATTTTTGTTGGAAATTAAATAAAAAAAAAAAAAAAATTTTTTTTTTTTTTATTCATTAATTTGACGTTTACTACATGACAATATATAGATAACAATGATGTCACTCTCCAATTCATTCTGCCACAACAGAACACGCTAACTTGGAACAAAAATATATCCCCAAAGCCCGATCTTTTATCGGACCTAACGAAACAGAGCCAGGAAGCTTCATCGGTCAGTCCTCTAGTGGTCCCAGTTTTTATGAGGCGAACATCCGCTTTATCCCGAAGGGACCAGAACTCCGTATCGAAGGGTCAGAAGGGGTCGGCCCCTTGGCGTTGAAACGAATGTCATATTCTAGAAAAGTGAGTAGTCGAGATACTAATGAAAATAGATCACGTTTGATAAAACCAAGTAGCTTGGCAAAATCATCAATCGAGTAAGGGGGATCCGGTTATTTAAATTTATATATATAGTGTGGGTTATGTACTTTTTATATAAATAATTTTTCGCTGGTTCGAAAAAATTACTAGAAATATATGTTAGGATCATTGGAGGAATAAAAAAAAAAAAAAAAAAAAAAAAATGAAAATGAGAATTGTTTTTGTAGGGGGTTTTTTGAAGGGGGCCTAGGGTCAAAACAAAAAAAAAAAATAAAAAAAACAAAAATCTGGGATCTACGTTACTGGGCTTTGGGTAGGTTTGGCAAGCAAACAACATATATAAAAGAATCCCTTATAATTATTATTATTATTATTATTATTATTATATACCCATTTTATACATATACATTCCTCTTAGATCAAAAAAAAAAACGTTTATGCATCTTTTTATAAAAAAAAAAATCACATCAACAAGCTAGACAAGGATGATTAACAAACAAATTTTTTATGTATATTTTTTTTTTCTCTCAATATATATATATATTCAACCAATAACATCAACAACCACCAATAATCATTCGCCAAAGAACCTAACAAAGCAACATCAACAAAAACTTTGGATATGGGCAATGGGTTTAGCGATTTTGGTATATTACTTGTTTGCCCTGAAGGAAAATGGAAACGCTCTGGATTCTTGCCAAATGAAGAATAAACAATTCTTAATTTGTACTTAGGGATTTTTGGTTATTTTGGTGTGGAGGGAATAATAGAATTTTGGTTTATATGGCTTTTGACTTTATTATATGTAACTTTTTTGTGTAACAAATATATTATATACATATTTTTATTGTATGCAAAAAATAAAAAAATAAAAAATTTTTAAATAATAACTAATCGTACGGTGCTCAATGAATATTTAAAAATTTGCAAAAAAAAAAAAAAAAAAAAAAAAAAAAAAAATGTAAAATTGTAGTCCTATATAATTTCTACAAAGATACTTTTTTTTTTTTTTTGCAAATTTTGATTTATATTTATCGAGGAGTTACGATATAAAAAGACATAATATAATTTTAGTATGGCGAAAAGTGATCATATCATCACCATATAAGGATATATTACACAAATTGTTCATCGATAGTTCTTGATAGTATTCTAGAACAATTGAAATTTGGTTTTCTAGAATCTGCGATTTAAAAACATGTTGATCGTGATGCAGTAACACACTTGTCTCAATATCCTTGCATTCTCATTTCTTGGGTTTACTAATTTCCCCCCACCACTGATCAGGGTGGCTAAAAATTTTATGTAACCGCCGCAATTAAAGAATAAATTCTTTTCACAATTACATTAATTTTTCTTTTTTTTTTTTTTTTTAAATAATTATTTTTGCGTTTAAATAAATTTTCGCCAAAAAATTTTTATTGAAATAAACATACCTACTTTTTTAAATCATACTGCTACGTATACGTATGTGTTATGCGTCATTTTTCGATTATTAATTGACGCATGTCATTTTTTCAATTGAAAAATGACATACGTCGTTTTTCAATCGGTACGAAATTTACGGATCAAAAAAAAAAAAAAATTATCATTTATTAAATTACAGATCAAAAAAAAAAAAAAAAATTAGCGATATTCATTTATTAAATATATAAATGCTACGTCTTGAGTATAACGAATTATTCCTACATGATTTTTTTCGGCAATGACAAGAATTTGGATGAGGTCTTCGGCTTGAATCAATGATTTAATAGCCGTAAAATTAAATTACCATTGCGTGGTTGTGTTAAACTAACGCACGTTTATGTTTACAGGTATTTACACGTAGTAAAAAAAAAGCAAAACGTGCACTTAGAGGAGGTGTGCATTTAGAGAGGTTAAAATTTATAATTGTTATATTACTTGGGACTAAGAGAGAGCGTGCACTTAGAGGAATTTTTCATACGTTTACTGTGCACTTAGTAGTTAGGGAGTGCGACTGTACGTATAACGAATAAGTTATTGGTGATCATCTAATGACCCAGATCATCGGGTACTATAAATCGGCCAATCATATTTCAAAAAGCGGAAAATTTTAATACAGTAGTAGTATAGACAGTACAGCAGTATAGACAGTCTATAATAATATTGGCAGTCAATAATAACATAAGCAGCAATAATAATATAGGCAGTCTATAATAATATAGGCAATCAAAAAAAAATTTCGGCACACGACGTTTTGAAACACCATGGCGAAAATATCCAAAAAATTTCGCCAGACCATCTGTCGGAAATCAACCCTAATTTCGACCCCCATGCAGGGACGATGATTTTCTGCGGTGGTTAAGACTAAATTCTGCGTGTGCTTAAGACAAAATTTCCCATTATAAATTGTGATTTCTTGGCTTTTTGTAGTATTCTACGGTGATTCCTCATAATTTTGTGCGTTCTGTGGTATTCTGCGGTGATTAAGGTCAATTTTTGTGGTTAGCTGCGTTTAAGAAAAGTTCTGTGAAACACAGAAAATCATCGTCTTTGCCCCCATGTATACTCGCCCTAACCCTAAAGTCGTAAATTTAACATTATTAAAAATAATGTTTTTCCTTTTTTGGGTTTGTATCACCGGCGCAAATAAGTAAAACGGTTTGGGTTAGTTTAGTTTATAATAATTTCAAGTTTTCTCGATAATAACTTTTATCTTAGAGTCTTTTCTATTTTAAATTTTATATTTACTACGTAATGTCGAGTCATATTTCTCTAGTTATAACCGGTTCTCGTATTCTTACTTCTGATTCAATTGATCCTTTGCCTGCTACTATTGAAATTGATAAAAATGGACATATTAGTGCTATTTTCTCCAAAATATCTTCTTTCGATTCTTACACTTTTTTAGAAAAAAATCAATTCATCGATGCTGGTAATAATGTTGTTATGCCTGGAATTGTGGATACTCATGTCCACTTGAATGAGCCTGGCAGAACTGATTGGGAAGGTTTTGAAACCGGGACCAAAGCTGCTGCTGCTGGTACTATGTTGTGATTCAATAATATAATCAGTCAATTTTTGCCCAGTTTATTTTTCTTTATTATTATAATTTTTTATCATTTGAAATATTAGGTGGAGTAACTACAATTATTGATATGCCATTAAATTCAATTCCTCCAACTACTACCGTTAATAATTTGATGCAAAAAACCGATGCGGCTAAAGGAAAATGTTGGGTGGATGTTGGTTTTTATGGTGGGGTTATTCCAGGAAATCAGGTTATAATTATTTATTTAAATAAAAATTTATTAAATATATCATATTAACTATATTTACTATTCATTATTTTTAGAATGATTTGGTCCCTTTAATAAACGCAGGCGTTAAAGGATTCAAAGGTTTTTTGATAGATAGTGGAGTCGATGAATTTCCTTGTGTAAATGAGCAAGATGTTAGGAACGCTTATAAAGAATTGCAGGAAAGTTTCTAAATTAATATTTAACTCACAAAAATTAACTTTCTTGAGTTTTACTTATCAAAATATTTATTTATTTTTTTTATAAAAAGGGTCAAAATTCAGTATTTATGTTTCATGCTGAAATGGAACTTGTCAACGGAGATAATAAATCTCAAGAGATATCTGATGAAATTCTTTCTTGTTATGATCGATTTCATCAATCTCGACCACAATCTCTTGAAATTAATGCTATTACTTTAATTTCCCGACTTGCTAAGGAATATAATACTGTACGCTCTCATATAGTTCATTTGTCAGCCGCAAATGCTATTGATATAATCCGTAAATCCAAATCAGATGGTGTTCCATTATCTGTTGAAACATGTTTTCATTATTTGTCCTTATCTGCTGAAGAAGTGCCACTAGGTAGGACGGATTTTAAATGCGCTCCTCCTGTCAGAGAAAAAACAAACCAAGAGAAACTTTGGCAAGTGAGTGATACTCAAGAACAGTGATGGTAAATGACCTGGCCATTGGATCAAAATTAAATGACCCCAAGTTATTAAACAATTATCAAGCCATTAAGGTCATTTGCCTATGGTATAATTTTATCGTGATAAAGTATAGTATTTTTTTTGTCGATTCCGTTCACTTCACCGATGCTCATTTTATAGACACAATCAGTTCACCGACATGTTTGTTTCACAGACAACCAATCCCTAGACAATCTGTCTGTGAAATAAGTTGTCTACGAAATGAGCTCATTTCACCGACATTATTAGAGGAATTTATTAAAAATAAATTGTATACGAATGAGCTTGTCTAGATTAGTTGTCTGTGGAACAAGCCTGTAGGTGAAGTGTTGCGTCTACAAAGTGAGTATTGGTGAAGTGATACGGATCCATTATATAACCTTCTAAATCATTCGAGTCTATAAATGACCCAATGACTTATCATGAGTCATTTGGGTTATTTACCATCACTATTCAAGAATATTAATAAAATTATAAAAACATATGATTACTAATTTTTAACATGGCTAATTGTTGTTAAGGCTTTGCTTGATGGTACAATTGATTTTGTTGTATCTGATCATTCTCCGTGTACATTAGACCTTAAATTTCTAGATGAAAAACCAGAAGATAGAGATTTTTTAAAAGCTTGGGGTGGCATTTCTACATTGCAATTTGGATTACCAGTTTTATGGACAGAAGCAAAAAAACGTGGTTGCAGGTTTGATTTTCTTAAATTTATAAACATTTTAACTATCTCTTTTTGAATTAATAATTGATTATTTGATCCAGTTTTCATAATTTAACTACATGGTTATCAAAAAACACTGCTAAACACGTTGGTTTACAAGAAAAAAAAGGTGACCTCAAAGTGGGATATGATGCGGATATTGTAATTTGGGATCCTGAGAAAACCTTTGAAGTTAGTCCATTTCTTGTAGTTCTTGCAATTACTATTCACATATTAATATATATATATATATATTTTTTTTTTTTTTTTTTTAATAAAAGATTACAAAAAATATTATTCAATTTAAAAACAAGGCTACACCATATATGGGAAGAACTTTTTATGGTGTAGTTAAACAAACAATTGTAAGAGGAAACATAGTTTATAATGCTGAAAATGGTGGCATTATCGATACTCCGTATGGTGATCTCTTGGTTTAATAAAAAAATTATATCGTTCTATAACACTATCATGTATAATACCATACTCTTTTAAATATGAAATAAACTTCACATATTAAAGTAGTTTTAAGTTTATGATGGTTGAAATTCTTTCTCGATGAATTAACAAAGAATCTAGTTGGCCAGTCTGGTTAGACAAACAATCAGATTATTTAAATCCACTGAAATGGAGGTACTTGAGAATGTTCATAGTCAAATTTTAGTAAGTATTTGTCCACATCATTGTTTGGCAGCTAATATTGGATTTTACCATATTAGCTTACAATTTATTTTACATGTTATCTTAATATTATTTTTCCATTAACATGATTCATAATTGCACACTTAGTATAATTAATTTTACATGACAATTAATTTGGATTTATTTGGTGTCAATCAATTAATCAACTCCACATAATTAGCTGTAAATCAAAAGAAAAATAATTACAAAAATAATTTTAAAAAAAGGAAGGGCTGAGAAATTAGTCAATACTATTTACCTGGGAACAGTCCAACTATACCATCTGCTGTTGTACCCTGCCACCAATCATCCGAACTGAATTGAATATCAGTAATAATATCATCTTCATTAAATGAAATTTCGTTTGCCTCACCGGCATCATAATTATAAAGAGCTTTAGCAGATTTTCCAGCGGTTAACTTAGTCTCATACTGAGGTTCGGGTTCGGGTTCGGGTTCAGGCTCGTCATCTTGTTCATACTTCATGTAAGGAAGTATTAAATTTTAAACCATTATATAATAATAATTACATTAATCAAAATGAGGGTTATTACCGTAGTGGGTCCAGGATCTGGTTCAATCTCATTCTCAATAATTTCCACATAATTTGCTTTATTGAGTAGTCAATTAAGTACAACCTAACCAAAATAGCCTGTTTGCGAAATAAAAATAAAGACTCACCGGGGAATAATCCGGCACGAGTACCATCTTTACTTTCACCTTGCCACCATCCTTCATCCAATTGGCTGATTCCTACAATTATTTCACCGTCTATTAATTCCATTTCGTTATCTTCGGCTTCAAAAAAATGATGATATTCAAATAAATATATGCTTATTAAAAGTACACAATATAAGAGAAACAATAAATATAATATGCTTACCAGCTTCATAAGGATAGATAACGCGTGCTGAAAAGGTTCTAGTTGCATCTGCATCTCCAGCAAACTAAATTGGCATGTTTTAAAAATTGAATGAATATAAAGTACAATTTGGAACTCCCTAAGTGAAATTAATAAGTATCGAAGATTAGGCTACCTCGGCACTCTCCAATTCCTGCTGGCGAAGTAGTTCCTCCTCCTATATATACATATGTATATAAAATAAATTTATATATCCATAAAAGAATGCATGCTAAATTAATTCATTTATATTGAAAATCACATACTTCTAACCTCAATCGTTCTTGTTCTTGCCTGCTCAGCTCTTCTTCCTCTTTTTGTTGTCTCAATCTTTCTTTCTCTTCTTTTTCCAATCTTTGTTGTTCTTCTTTTGCTTTTCTAGCCTGATCAGCCTCTCGTTTTCGTCGTTCACGTTCTAATCTTTCTTGTTCTAATTGTTCGCGTTCCTGTTCCTCGCGTTCCTGTTCCTCACGTTCCTGTTCCTCACGTTCCTGTTCCTCATGTTCCTGTTCCTCACGTTCCTGTTCCTCACGTTCTGACCGCTCGCGTTCCTGTTCTTCGCGTTCCCGTCGTATGCGTTCCTGCTCTTCACGTCTGGCCTTATCACGTTCTTCACGTTGGCGTTCCTCACGCTCAGCCCTTTCACGTTCTTCACGTTCTCGTCGGTGTTTATTTTCCGTAACAGGTGGTTCTGTTTTTTCTTTAGCATTTAAAAACGCTGCCCGTGCGCCCAGTGGTTTTGGTTTTGGGGGTCGTACAGGTTCATAAACAGAACGCTTTTATCATCGAATTATATAGTCAATACAATTACATGTAGAGATACAAGTAACTAGTGATGTGCAGTTGGAAGATTGGAAGCGCTATTGGAGACAATTTGGAAGCATACTTATTAATAAAATCTAATTAGAACTTCCAATCCGAATAATTTTTATGCTATTGGAAGCACAACTGCACACCACTGCAAGTAACTAATTTAAACCAAAAAAAAAAAAAAAAACATGTACACACAACAGGCTCAATTTTTTCCAGAGGAGCATTTCGTTGTAATTCACTTATATCTGGTATCTGAGTAGGCTGATACGATGATCTCTACACAAAACAAAATACAATTGTGAAAAAAGTTCATCACATTCCATATGGAGAATTTAACAACTCTTAGCCCATTAAATATATATCATACCACGGGCTCAGATTTCTCTTGAGTAGTGCTTCGTCTCAATTCATTAAAATCTGGTACTTTAGTAGGTTCATAGACTGATCTCTATATAAACAAAAAATAAATAAAATAAAAACTCATGTAATAATCGAAACAAAAAGCCCAGCTCTTTTGTATTTATGATTTCACACTATAATATTATGTTGTATATCGATTTATATTGGTATAAGGTAAATAACTATATTCTTATCAACCCTCAAAATTTTTGATCTGATGATAATTCCAAAATAATGTACTAATAAAATTATATGCCTACCACTGGTCCGATTTTTTCTTTAGGTGCATTTCGTTGCATTTCAGTAATGTTTGGTATTTTCTCCGGTTTGTATACCGATCTCTACATGAGTAAATATACACGAGTAAGTATTATCATTTGAATTTTTTATATTTGAATAGATAATATCATACCACTGGTAAAATAGGTTCTGGCTTTACTGGAGGAGCATTTTTATTAATATTAACAGAATATTTGGATCCTCCACTTTTTTCTAAGCGTTTCATTATATATGATGGTTCAACATCACTCTAACAAACGGAAATTGTAAAAATAAATATCAAAAAGCAATCCAAGATAATGACAACAATCCTTTTCGCACCTCAGATCTAGCGCTTATTTGGAGATGGTATTTCCTCTGTTAAAAACAGATGTGAAATAAATTCAATATCACATATACTTATAAATATCAAATAAACAAATCGCAACCTCTAAAAAATCGGAAACTTCATTGAGATGTGAATTAAATAATCCTTTTCTTGCTTCCGGCACACCTTCCCCACACTTAAATTTATAAAAAAAAAAAATTATTATTCATTAAATACAAATAGTTACATAAATTGAACAAGTCAATTAAATGCATACCCAGCCAATAAATATAAACTTCGGTAATTCCGAGTTAGGGTCCTTTACTTTCACATATGCATACTGAATTTTGCCATCGTTAAACTCCTCCTGTAATTCATCAAGTCCTCCATCTATAAAGTGATGTATATTTTCTGCATGAGAATTCAAATTTTATTAATAGCATTTTGATATTACGACAATACCTCCGGTTCCCAAGACCTTAAGATCACTTCCTCCTTTGTCATAACCATAAATTACCCATTTATCTATTTCACCGTCTATAAGATCTCTACGAGCTGACGAAAGCGATTGAGAATGTGTGGTAAAATTCACGGAAAGACTCATGTTTGCATTTTGAAAATTAAACCCGAGTGTTATTGTCGTTATATATTTGCCTTATTAGTAAAAGCAACCATCATGTGATTTATCTTACTTTAAAATTAATACTGTGACACCGCATTAAATGAAACTACTACGTAATAACTAAAGGTGCGGACATTAGAACATGAAATAACATATGTCATAGCCAGTGTCTAAAATTCAGTATAAAAACTATGGGCGGGCCGCACATTACATAGCGCACATCGAAGCTTAAACATATATGAATTTAAAAATTTTAAAGTATATGTACGCAAAGCGCCCGTACTATTAATCTTTAAGGTGCGGAAAATTTTTTTAACGTGCGCTCCGCTCCTTCCGCACATT